CTAAAGGTCAAGCAATGCTATGTTTGCCATACTTGGAGGGTTCTGAACTTTTTTGGTGACATATTCTCCTTTGGCAATCTGGTTAAACCAATGACAAATTCTGAGAAAAATACTTCCCTTCTCTCCCCCCAAAATTTTCTAAATATGTAAAATGATATGCCTATGATTACAAAGTAACAAGTTATATCAAAGCAGCAAATTATATTGCCATATAGTTACCCAAACTTTAAAAATTGATAGAGCAGTACATGAGATTTTCATTAGCGTATTAAGTAAGAAGACCTAGTTGTGCTCTAGTAAATTTCTAAAATTTCAGAGAAATGACAAAGATACAGGCTATTTCAATATACCTATAAAAACAGTATTAAAATTTGAGAATCTATGTGATTTTTGTTGGTGATAAAGCCACAGATTTGTCAACACATGTGATTTGTGGTCATATTTGAAGGAAATGCTAAATTTCATTCAGTGTTAGACTCAAGATACACTTTCTTCCCCCATCTAAGTTCAGAGACCCCCTGAATCCACATTCCAGGTCAGGGACCACTGGATTCAATGAAGGATGGAGGGAAGAGGACAGGGTGAGATTCAAAGTGGGGAAGACAAGCAGGTTGGGCAAGAGTGAGGCTCAACTTTAGGAAGGAAGGATGCACCTGACTTGGTTTTCCCATGTAAGGATGAGGAAGTGGGCAATAATAGCATGTACTGGATGATCAGGAAACAGGTGGAAGCCTCCCTCAGCAGCTCTCAGTTTGGATGAATTAAAGCAAGAGGTCGTTAAAGCAAGTAAGGGAGGAACCAGGACATCACAGGCAGACCATCAAGGCAGAAGGTCTAGAACTGGTCTGAGGACTGAGCCAGAAACTTCAAGAGAGCCCAGGCCAGGGGCTAGATGCCTCTGACAGGCTCTCCTTCTGCCAGCCAGGCCTGTGCTGCTGGGAATTTCCTTCAGAAATGCTCTGGGGCAAGAGGAGAAAGGAGGTCAGAGTGACAGCCCTGTGAGCAGGCACATGGCAAGCTGAGGATGGCCAAGAGGCCCTGTGTGTGCAGAAAAAAAATACAGCAGATTCCTGAGATGTGAGTGTGTACAGGCTCTGGAGAGGGTGAACAGGCAGGGTTAAATGGCAGATGTTGAATCCATGATGTCAGATTTGGGGGATTTGCAAATGAGAAAAGCATCAAGAAAGGACTTCTCATTTCTTGAGGAAATAACCTTTCCAGGGTATTCTTCAGGTCATAGGGATGGTGCTTTTTTTTTTTTTTTTTAACACAGCAGTGGACACTGACAAATTTCCAGCAACTGCCAACAATTTGCTATCCTTGAACAACCCTAGAAGTGAATCAACCAAACATTAAGTTCCTGTAAGAATTCCTCCCTCATTCCTTCTCCTTTGCCATCCTCCTCCTCATACAAACTGTTCCCAGAGCACAGATTAAGGCCTGTCAGCCCCAGGGAGAAGCCTGTTGCAGCTACCTTGTGGGACATTTACTTATCTTCAGACCTCCCTATCTTCAAGGCATAGCTCTCTGGCCTTTCATCTGTTATTTTCCTTTCATCTGTTTTTACCTTTGGCATGAACTACCACTTCTACTACTGCCTTCTCCTCCCTTTGCTGCTGCTTACCACCAACTCCTTCCTCTGCCATTGCTCATCAGTCCTTCCCTCTCTCCCTCCTCCGTCTTCTTCATGATCTGTATGGTTTTAGCACTTCACAGCTTTTTCAGAGCTATCTTTGACTTCTGCTTCATGACAGAAACCTGAATATCAAGCCTAGATCCCTCAGCCCAGCATTTTAAAGAGCTGGCCTCATCTGTTGGCTAACACGCCCCAGAAAAGCAGCCTCAGAAGGTCTAGGAAAATGGAGGGCACTGGTTTTACTCCCTCCCCTGGGAGTCCATTAGCCATTCTGTCTGCTAGGTCTTTGCTTCTGGGAAGCCTAGAGTGCTTCACCCCTTCCTTAGGGAGCCTCAAACAGCCTTAGGTTGACCTGGACCTGATTGAGACCCTTTAGATTTATCTAAGAGGGAGTTGGTGACCTCAAGGTGGCTAGACCCGTGGGCTTTTCCCACATGGTCTGTACCTCAGCTGCCGCCACTCAGGCTTCTTTCCGTGATCCTCAAGGCGAATGAGGAATGGCTCAGAGATGATGGTGTGTTTAGATGTGACTATCTCATATTGTGACTCTAGGATTGAGCCCCATTAATGATCAAGAAATGAATTCATCTACAAAGCAAATCCTCCATCTCTACAGGATTCACATCTGCAGATAACCAACCATGAATGAAAATATCCAAACTTAAAACATCAGATCTGTACTAAACATGCACAGATGTTTTTTGGTCATTAATCCCTAAACAATACAGTGTAACAACTTTTACATAGCATCTACATGGAATTTATTGTAAATCATGTAGATATGATTTAAAGTACAGGGAAGGGGAGAAGGACATGTATAGGTTCTATGCAAATACTACACCATTTTAAAAATGGGACCTGAGAATCCATGAATTTCAGTACGTTGATGATCCTTGAACGAACCCCCTTTGGTACCAAGGATGACTGTAATTGCCTAAGGGAGGCTACTAAAAGTTAACTTTTCATTATTATAGATGGCTGAAGGGACACAGTTTAGTTGATCCCAGGTGATAACAACTCTATATAAAATTAGGAGAGAGAAGTATTTCTGTAATTAGTATGACATTTTAAAGGAAGCCAAACAACTAGGTTAGATGCAGTGGAGTTCATCTTGTAGAACTACCAAAGCTGTCATAGCTCAAGTCATTGCTCAGGAATTTACCTAGATGTCCACTAAGAGATAAGATTTAAAAGGAAGCCTGAACTTGAATGAACAAGGGAAATGATTTTGAATGGTTTCAACTTGCACCTTTTAGTAGCAGTTTTGACTCAAGTGAGCTGCAGCACTGTCTAGCTGGCTTTGAGTTGGCACCAGCCCTATTGAACAACGTCTTTTTCATCTACACTCTCTAACAACCTTCCAGCAAGGAATGAGACAAAGCCTAGGAATTTGCAGATGAAGGGATCTTTTCTGCTTAGGTAAGAAGATGAATGTGGGCCACTAAAATAGACCCTTACTACTTAAAGTGAGGTGAAGCTGGGGTTTAAAAATTCATTTCTGTTCAAATTTCTGCATACTTTGCATATATGCAACTCCTTCTCATAAAATTGTGGGAGTCCTTGGGACCAAAAAAATCTCAGATTTTGGCATTGTTTTGTACTTTGGAATAGTTGAATACTACTTGAGCATCCCTTATCTGAAAATGCAAAGTCTGAAATGGTCCAAAATCCAAAACTTTTTGGGTACTATTTTGGCACTCAAAGTTTCAAATTTCAGGGCTGGGCATGGTGACACTTGCTTACAAACCTGGCTAGTCAAAACGCAGACATAGGAAAATCCTGGTTCAAGGCCAGCCAGTGAAAAAAGTTGGTTTTGAGATAGTCAGTCCCTATCTCAAAAACAAGCCTGGGGCTGTAGATGTGGTTCAAGCAGTAGAGTGCCTGCCTAACAAGCACAAAGCCCTGAGTTCAAACTCAGTACCTTCAGAAAACAACAAACCAAAAAACCTTAAAATCTGTGGGCATGGCTCAAGTGGTAGAGCACAAGACTCTGAGTTCAATCCCCAGTACTGCATTTTGAATTTCAGAGTAAGAATGCTTACCCTGTGTAGTCTCTAGTTTACAAAGTAAGAAGTGGGTCTGAATTGGGAGGACTCAACATCTCAGAGAATACAAAACCTCCCTTGTAGGTCGAAATTTAACTGCTTAAGAGACTGAGGCCTCTATTGGGTGCTGGTTCCCAGGCCACTGTACTGGAAGAAATGAGCGGACACGGTCCCACTGGGGCAGAGAGTACTTTTAGCTTTGACATGTCACTACTGCAGTGCCAGGCAGAACAGCTCTGAGAGTCCCTGCAGGATCATAAGGTGTGAGGATGTTTCGTGGGTACAAGGCCAATCTATACAGATGCAGGGATTTGTGCAGTGTTACTACCTTACTGGATGGACTGTGTTCTGGATGCCTTAGTATCAGGACCTGCTCATCAGGCAGAAAATAGTATTTCAGGCTTTGTAGTACTATTTCTAATTTTTATCTAAAGGGAAGGCATGACAAGAAGAAATGCTATGTGCGTTCTGGAAGATTCAGCAGAAGGTGAAAAGGAAGGGTTACCCATCCATGAGAGACCCCATGTCATGTGAATTTCAAATTAGGCTGAGCTCATCTACAATGGCTGCCTTTAACCAATGCTGAAAAAGAAGTAAGCAAAGATGCTCTTTTAAATAGTTGAGTGACCTGCCAGGAAATGTCTTCCAGAGCTTGGTGTGAGATATAGGATTAGAACATTAAAATAATGAAAAATTCTAAAATTTGTTCCCTTGACCTAAAAGCTATGTTGTCATCTTCTCAGGATTAATCTTTGACACACACAACACATGCACACATATAAATACACACTCACAAGTACACACACTCCTAAGAAGGCTAAAGTAGGTTATCTCCCCTTCATTTCCATAGTTCCCAAGTGAGGGTTTGAACCAGATGCCTCTAATGTGCCTCTGATCTTCACAAATTCAGTGATTCCCAACCAAAAGTGAGAGGTCAATTCATTCCCATTGTTCAGGCTTATGGATGATGTCTGCCTTCCCCAATACCTCCCACCCAGTGCACCCCTTCATGCTTTAAATCCCACACGCTGGGTAGTACCTACATCATGAGCACCTGAGTCCACAAAATGAGACTGAGCTGAATCATGTATCTTCTTTTTAAGTCTTTATTTTCCACCTTCATCCCTTTGTCCCACCAGTGAAAATTGTGACCATCCTGAAGCTGCATTCAGAGTTGCACAGGTCAGCTGGCAGAAAGTTGTGACCCTTGGGCCTCTGAGCAGGACCCTAAACTGTGGATCCTGGCAGGAAGGGCCACCTCTAAGCTCCCATGGTAGCTACGCCTTCAAGAACAGTTGCATTCATTGTCTTTTTGGTTGTTTTTTTTTTTTTTGCTTTAATAATAAAAAAGGAAAACCAAATCTTTCTATAATTTATAAGCTATTTTTTTTGCTATCTACATTATATAAAATATAGACTCTGTTTACTTTAGATCACACATCTTTTCCCCTTGATAAATAACTTTAAAATATTTAGTATACATGCCTTGACTTTTTATATGTAAGTTTGGTTTTATACATATACATACATATATACTTATGTTTGTAAAACGCAATAAATATATACTTGATAATGACAACCCAATCGATGCAGTTTGGTTAAAGAATCCATCACACAGACATACACACACACACACACACACACACACACACATATAAAATAAATGAAATACTGTAAAAGCACCAGGCAGCAAACAGAAAGCCAAAGTTGCTAGAAACTTCTTCCTCCCTGGGCAAGGCACAGGGCAGAATAAAGGATGGGCCAGGCCATGAGCCTTTGTTTCTTAACCTGTGATAGACTCAGCATCACAATTGTAAGGAGAAACCATGGGCTTATTTGATAACTTAGCCTTCGTGGTGACTGCAGAGGGCAGCAGAGAGCTAGATGGGGTCCGGGAGACACAGTGACATCATGCATGACTCCATGGCACTGTGTTCTCCCTGCTACCCCTGTACAGGAGTGCTTTGATTGCTGCATGAAACATCAACCATTGCATATAGCATGTTCTTATTTCTCTATCCACTGCTGCTGTAAATGAAAAGCAGATTGACAAGTATTTAGTAAGTGCAATGCTTCAGGAGCCTGAAGGACAGCAGCCCTGTTGGTAATCCTCTCGAGGGCTCCAGCAAGTAAGGACTGCAATGCAGGGGAGAAAAAGGCCCGCAGGCTATCTTCCACTCACATATGGCATCGGCTTCACAGCCAGATTTTATAACAGGTCCACTGAGCCCCTTGCATGCCTCTGAAGCCCCAGCCCATCTGGATTGTCCCCAGAAACTCAGCTCTGTGCATCTGCCAGTTCCTCTGCCCAGGGTGGGCAGGCAGGGATGCCTGCCCCTTGCCAGTGAAGACTCAGGAAGCATACTACAAAGTCTCACGATTTTTCTTTCAATGCCCTCCTCCATTTCCTAAAAAGGAATTGAAATGTGGGTTTCTGATAGTTGACTTTATTTTTCCAACAAGCTCCCCAGTATTGTGGCTTCTACCCTGTAAACTCCAAGGCTTTAATGGCCAAGCAAAGTAAGCATTGAGTGGAGCAAGATTCCTAAGCTACTCAGAGCCTCAATTTATACCAGCCAGAGGATGGGAAGGTCATGGACCTCGGCAAATCCCAAATGTAGAAATCCGAGTTTATGTCTCCCATCCTTGCCAAGTAGAATACAAATTAGAGATAATTGTTTATAGTCACAATTGAAGAATTTAAACAGTTAGCTTTTAAGTACATTCAAGACATAATTGAGTTCATAAAGAAACAAACATTTACTTGCCACAGCTCAGGGAATTTAATCCAATTTGGTTTGAGTTCTAATTCCAACTTCTCTGCCAACTAGCCAGAGGCACTCAGACCACTCATTTCTCCACGTGGGTGCCCTGAAGGTGCTGTGTGAGGCAGCATAAGAGAGTCAGGAAATTGGGCTTCTCATCCTGGCTCTACCACTATAGAAGCGTGGGGACCTTGGCCATCATTTTCCCTCTCTGGGATGTAATATAAAAGGACTGAATATAATAGGCTCTGAAGTCCCTTCACATACATTTGGATTTACTTTCTCCCAGGATGTCATTAGCAAAGTTGTTTTCCTCCTGTGTCCACCAGAATAAAAGAACAGATCAGAAACCCAATTTGTAATCACAGGTCAAATTCAATAGTTGTTAACTACGAGATAGGATGAAGCACAAAAGAGAGTAGTAACAGTACAAATGCACAGCTAAATATATCTGAGTCGCAAACAAATGAACCTTAACAGCCCCACTCCCTGAGAAGAGATACCTTCCTGTGTTACACTCAAGCCCCTGAGAGCAAAATCCAAGGCTATCTAATACTTGGCCAACAATGTTTTGAAAATCCCAAACTCTAAGAGTGGTTGAGTCACCTACAGTCAAAAATCAACTTAAGTCCATTTGAAAAGAAGCTGAGTGATATTTCTGTTTGGGAAGGGGAAGAAAAATTGATTACTTCTATTTGCGACTCTAATAACCTTCTGGCAAACATCAAATGTGGAGAGCGTGTCAGAGCGCCCCCTATAGGCTAGGTAGGGAGCACTTTCTCTACCAGGCAAGAGCAGGAACAAATTGTGGTTTAGAGAAGAAAGGTTTTGGATTTGAGTGAGCCCACCTCTGCTTACTAGTTGTATGCCTTTGGGCAAATTATTTGCTCGTGTATAAAAAGGGAATGATAATACCCAATACTATATATGGATTGAATGGGATAATGTAATAATATACTTAAAATACTCTACACCCAATGGTTAAGTCTTGGAGTCAGCCATGACTGCCCCTACTGTACAGATAACATGTGACACAGTGGTATTTGCTGCCAGGTAGGCTAATGTGTATTAGAGGTACCCCACAATGTAATTTTCTCATTGGGAGAAGTCAGAGAAACTGACAGTGGTCACAGATTCTTTCACAGACTCCAAACTTTCTCAATAAGCCCAAAGGCATCCCCAAACTCTTGTGGATAACCAGAAAGAACTCTAACCTAATTCCTCTCTGAGAACTGGAACTTTAAGACTTTTCCAGAAAACCAGAGTCATCCACACAATGGTGAGAACAAGACAGGCAAAGGGGAACTGAACCAGAAGATTCCAACATGTCACTTCTATTACGTCAGGACCTTGAAACATGTTAAAGCAGAAAGGACCTAGATTATTGCTGGGATTTAGTCCTAGGTCAAAGTCAGCAGGTGTGACCCAGTACCCTGAAGGTGCTGTGCTGAAACAAAGTCCCTCTGCAGGATGTGACTAAAGGCTTGAGATCTGGGCCCACATTGTTGCTTCTACCAGTAATTTGCACATGGTCAGCCAAGGGCAGAAGGCGTAGAAAAGAAGTCTCTTAATCCCATTTGCTATCATCTTTATATTTTAAAAAATGATCTACCTAGGTGTTTTTCTTCCTCTTGTTCCTACATCTACCTAGTACATGCATTTCAATAGATAAAATTTGAGTACACATACTAAGTTTTCATGCTGCTTTTACAGAATATGTAATCTTTCTATATCCCACAGCTTCAAATGAGAATTTTTGTTTTAGTCTCTGAATATTTATCACAGAGGTCAGAGGCCTTTGGAAAGAAAAAAGTCTCTCTAGTGTCATTGTTAAGTACAACACCAAAATTGAACCCCCAAGGATTGATTATAAATGCCTTAGGAAAAAAAAATCCCCATGGACTCATCTAATTTTCTTTCCCTTCATTCTTAAACCACAGCCTTCCAGGATAGTCAGGAAAAATTCTTCTCAGTTTCCACAAAAACTACTTCCACAGAAGGTAATTGAAGGGAATAGGCATCCAAAACAGCCCGAAATATGGTCTTTTGCTCAAGCTAGTACTGGTAAACTTTTGCTCAACAAATTTCCACTTTGAACTGCTGTTGCAAATCTGGAATGCTAACTGTGAGGTATGTCAACACTCAGGGACCATAATGGGACATGGCGTGTTTCAGCTGATTAACTCTATCAGTTTGCATTAAGGCCCCAGGGAAATAGCATGATTCCATCAAGTCCATACCTACTCCCTTGTACTAGGAAATGACCACCATTCCTGGTGTTGGAACACATCCATGGCTGCACCTGTGGGTAGCCAGAGCCTTGACTAGAATTGACCCAAGGGAGGAGAATGGAGGATGCACCTGATTGGACTGTTTGGGAGATCGCTTAAATTCTCTTCCACTTCTATTGCCAGTTATTTGAAAAGTTTAAACCTGAGTTGCAAGCCAAAGACACCTGTTTGACTTCAGGAAGTGAGAACAAAACAATGAAGACTTAATCCAACCTCACAAATGTTTTGGGGGAGAGAGAGGGGTAGCAAAGATAACAAAAAGACAATTCCCCATTTTCAAAATGTACTTGACCTTTCTTTCAAGACCAGACCTGAATTTTGAAAAATGGTTTTGGTGACATTTGACAATAGCAAGCATTTACAAATGTACATGTGTCATATGTGGCTAGCTGTTTCCTTTTGGCACTGCCCACTTTAAGCTTACAGTTGGCCATCTTTAATGAGAGCTCTGTACATAGAGGGTAAAAGACAAGAGAGACAGGAGAGCAAGTAAAAGCATCTTTATGCTTTGTGTAACATTAGCCTTCTCTGCCCTCCATGTAATCTCTCCAAGGTCTCTAAACTCCCATTTTAGCAACACTGAAAATTATGTTCCTTGTTATCCTTATGATTTTGCTTAATACTTATTCAAAAGTTTCCAGGTGTCAGAATCCTGAAAGCCAAGGCCAAAGCTAAGGAAAAGAACTTCAAAGGACTCTGATTGTGAATGAAGGCCTGCCTCCCTTTTAAATTCACAAAGCTGGCTGAAGTTCCTGACACCTTCCCAGCTTGGTAGGAGAGATGGGTGTTAGAGGCCAAAGCCAGGGAATATGCTCATTTTCCCTTCTGTTTGGGAGTTCAGACTGCATCTCCCAGGCCAGAGCTGTCCCCAGTCCTCGAGGGCAAGCAGAAGCTTGCAGTGAAGCCCACACTGGGCATGACGTTCTTGGCATTGTCTGAACCCAGGGTAGGGTTCCTTACCACATGGTATTGTTACTAAGTAACAAACCCCTGTCCTGCATGTTCCACCCTCACTGGAAAGAATCCTAAAGTGGCTCCTTGAAGGACAGTTTATTCTCTGCCTCATCTGTTTCAGTGTGCTCCTTTGCTTCTTTCAGCTCAAGGGAGCCCTGCTCTCTGCTTGCCATTTTTGATGCTCCCTAAGGCCCCAGGTGAAGGGCTAGGAGCCAGTTCAACACACTCTAAGGCTTCCTAGGAGGAAGATTAACCCAGGAAGCTGTACCCTCTGCTACTAAGTACTTTTCCTTCAGATGCTTTGAGTAGAAAAGTGGCTTCCTAGAATTTGAACTTTCTCACTAGTCATACACACCCTCCGCCTCTCCCTAGACTAACAAGCTTATGTGGACATGTGCTAAAAGTGCCTTCTCCAGCCAGTGGCAGAGTTGGGGGGAGCCTGGCTCCCACTGACCTTGCCATCTGACAGTGCCTTGACCTTGCAGTGCCATTTGGCTTGCAAAGAAGGCCAAGGTGTGTGGGTGGATGAGGTAGGGAGGGAAGCAGCTCCTCCTTGCTTCTCACAGTAGAGGCCACTAAACCTCCTCACTCTCATGCAGTACCCCGCAGGGACCTGCTCCAGGCTGGCTCAGCCCACCAGCGTGCTTGAGTGGGGTCCCCTACCTGGGCTGGGGTCCCCATGCCTTCCCCCTCTCTGGGTCTCACATAGAAGGCCTAAGTCCCCCAAGTCCCTTATCTGGGCTGGGGTTTACTTTCTCATGTACCTTTTATTCATTCAGTCTCTCCCCCATTCCTAGTGGCCCCCTTTCTGGACCCCATGCAGAAGGCCTAAGTCCCTGGGGTTTTCAGTCCCCTCTAACAGTAGAGGGACATTCTGCTCCTGCGCATGGCCTCACTGATCAGGTAGGCAGGACTCAGCTCTGGCTCCTCTGTCATGATGACAATGTTCTGCCACTCGCCTGTCTGACTGGACCTCTTGATGGTGTCCACCACGCAAAGCGCATACAGGCAGTCATCAAACGTGGCGGCCATGGTGAGCGGCCGCCCGTCCCATGTGCGCCGGTCATCCTGATCCTGGAAAGCCTGGCGTACAGCCTGCATCATCTTCATGGTGCCACGCAGATAGGGTGAGGGGATGTCACTGAAGGCCTTCTCGGGCAGCAGGGAGTTGCTCACAGGCGTGGTGTCCTGCAGCAGCAGCTCCTGCTCCAGGGCGCTGTTGCGCTGCCCATACAGGTCAGTGCCTACTGCCAGCAGGCGCCCAGCTGAGCCCACCACAGTCACGTCCTGCTTGAACTCTCCGGGCACGTTGAAGTTCAGAGTGACTGTGCAGCACACCCCGCCCTCCAGCACCATCTGGAAGGTGCAGAAGTCATCGCTGGTGATCTGGCGGATGCCTTTGATGTGGTCCGTCTGCTTGACAAAGGTCTTGAGCAGACCGTGAACCTTGATGGCCTTCTGGCCGGTAAGGAAGGTGAGCAGGTCGATGATGTAGGTACCCACCGAGTGCAGGCCACCACCGCCCATCAGGTCGTCGCAGCTCCAGTTGTACTTCTTGCCCAGCAGGCTGCCGCTGTGCACCTGCACCTCACACACCAGCAGCTCGCCCACGTAGCCCTCCTCGATGAGCTGCTTCATGCGCACGAAGGCGGGCAGGAAGCGCAGCACATTGCCCATGATGCTCATGAGCTTGGGGTAGTAGTGCGCGGCGGACATCATGCGGAATGCGTCCAGCGGAGTGGCCGTCCGGTCGCAGATGACATTCTTGCCAATGCCTGCGGGCAGGAGCAACAACAGCCGGTCAGCAAGCTGCGTGAAGGGACGGTATGGGGCGGTGTGGCCGCCAGAGCGAGAACCACACCTGAGCGGATAACCAGAGGTCAGTTTTTTAAAACCTTCTCCCAACACCTTATATTTACATAGAAATACATCCCCAGGTTTCAATAGTCTTTAAATAAGCAAGGTGAATTTCCTAATTTTAATATTAAGCCATTTGCATTGATTTAAATAGTAAGGCTTACTTTAATATTTATTTAGCCTGGGGGTGGGGGGCCCAGTGGCTCACACCTGTAATTCTAGGTACTGAGATCAGGAGGATCGCAGTTGAGAGTCGAGCTGGGGCAAATACTTCACAGGACCCCCATCTCCAAAATAACCAGAAAAAATTGACTGGGGGTGTGGGTCAAGCAGTAGAGCCTACTTTGCAAGTGCAAAGCCCCGAGTTCAAACCGTAGTCCCACCAAAAAAAAAAAAAAAACCCATATATCTGTATCTGTATCTAATAGATCTCCTATATTTTTATAAGTAATATTTTTAAATAATTTGCAGATACGTAAATAAAACACTTTATGAATGTATAACAATTTATAAGCAAATATATAGTGCTTATAAAAAGTAAAAATATTTTAGAATATTTACATAACAATATAAGTTGGTTTTTATTAAAGTATACATCTTTATATAAAATTATATATGAAACGTCTTATATGTAAAATGTAATTTTTACTAAAACCATATTATTAAAAATACCCTCCACAGAACAAAGAATAGTATCTAGATAGAACCACAATCCTAGCCAGGTGGATCTGATTAAGTGTGAGGAAGCATTTCTTCTTCTTCTTTTTTTTTTTAATAATTCTTTCCTCCTTTATTTATTTATCCAGTGGACTTGGGCTTTGAACTCAGGTCCTTGTACTTGGTGGGTAGGTGCTCTACCAATTGAGCCACTCCCCCAGCAAGGAAGCATTTCTTAATGATACTCTTTGAAGGTCCAAGCTTTTGGCTCACTCTCTTCCCCCTCCCCCTCCTGCCCACCCTAGGATTATATTTGGTGTGTTGCTGTGTTTGTTTTGTATTTTGAATTAGGGCTGGCAGTGGTTAACAGGTGTGTCTGTTTAATGTTTTTTCTCTTCCCATAAAGAGAAAGTATTCATTACATCAGAAGGGTGGGCAGTATATCTGGTTCCTCCCCCACCCTATTCTGCCTCAGGGTAGGATTTGTTGCTTTTGACTAGTGGAGCTCAGGCCAAATAAAAATTAGTCTCCTGTGATGTCTGTAATGGGTGTATAAATTACAGGGAGCCACAAGTTGCCTTTCTGAGGCCTTTATAGACTAAGTGCTTCTGGGTCTGGGATAAACAAAGGATCAAAGGGAAGGAGAGTGATAGAGATGAGAAAGGGATTTGTTCTGCAGAACCAAGAGTCAGGGGAGGGGAAAAACACCTCAGCTGGATCTGGAGAAGCAGCCAACTGAATTAAAAAAAAAAAATCGCATAGATTTGCTAGCAAGCTAGATAAGACATACACTGGATGAACTGAGTCAAGGTCACTGAGATCCAGTCATGTTAAACATACACCCCCAAATGAAGACCTGGGCACTCCAGCCACAGAAGAGACCCCAAGGGAAGTGGGGTGGGGTGATGAGAGGTACACCCCAGTCCCACTTGTGCAGACTGGGCATTTGATTGACAGTATCTATGAAGTCATGTAACGTTGAGCTTAGATGGGGTTTTGTAGATGTCTGACAAGTGGTGGCTTCAGGACAAGGCTGCATTCTCCCGTTAGAAAAGAGCTAGCCAAAGAGTAGGAGTGATGGGTGTAAGATGGGGAAAGCAATACAACTGATAGCCAGCCATCGACTGCCATGTGCACATCTTCTTTCTGTCCTGAGCCAAGGCCTGTAGCCTTCAGAATGAACATGTCCCCTTGCTTTTTCCACACTGGCAGAGCTGGGCTGGCCGTCCCCATGAAACACAGGTGCAGGGAGAAGCCCTCTGAATTCCTAGCAACCAGGTGAGGACTGAGGCAACGCTGGTTTGTACCACCAAAAGTGCCATGGATCTGTGTGACAGAGTGTTCTGACAATAAGAATTTGAAGACAGCAGACCCTTGTTGCCAGGTATAGACTTAGATGTAAAAGGATTGGTCAGCCACTGCAGAGGCAGGAGACAATCTGCCTCACACCTGTGGGTCATAGGCTCTAGCCTCTGCTACACCCTACTTCAAAGTATCTGGGAACCAGGACACCTGACAGCCATCTCCTTAGTGAACTATAAGAAAAGCTTTTTTTTTTAATCTATTATGAAACTATAGAATAATAAAAAGAGAAAAGAGTTAGTAGAAGAGGGATGCACACCTCCCACCCCCACCACAACAATCAGTGAATGGGTAATTCTTGGCAGCTCTATAGATGAAAATGCAAGATGAGTGAATGCTACTCCATCCTGAAACCCACGCAGGGTCCCCATGAAGACAGACACCTCTTCCTTTGGCTACTTAGGTGGTTCCACGCTATCCAGAAAGTTCCTCGTGGCCTAAAGCTAGAGCTTAGAATTCCTGAAGTCTTTCCTAGGAACAGCGAGTGTCCTGCACAAGGCAGGAACCCAGCAAGCACTGTCACCTGGCCCCACCTCCCTGCTTGCAGTGTCTTGTAAACATCCATGCTTTACACATAGGTCTTGGAACTCCTTAACATACAACAACCTCAAATATCAGAAGTTTCTAGGGATCTGTCATAATGAAATAATCTCACATGTAAGAACAGCTTCATGCCCAAAGGTGTTTCTTACTGCCTTGGTATTAAAGCAAAAACCTGGGAAGGAATGACAAAAATGCCCAGCAATACAAGAGTGGGTAAGAAAACTGGAGTGCAGACAGGGAAGATGGTGCCTGGGAAAACTGTGCACGGCAAGCAGGTGAATGATGAAGTAATGGTTTATGAAGAGCGGAATTCATGGACACATTAGGATCTCAACTCTCTTTACAGAGAAAAGAAAAACTCTGCAAGGCAATACCTCAAAACCTTTTTAGTGACTAACTCTGATTACTAGGTTTATGACTGGTTTCTTTTTTTCTTTCCTTTTGGCATTACCGGTGTTTGAACTTCTAGCCTAGTGCTTGCTAGTTAAGGGCTCTGTCACTTTATCCACACCCCCAGGCCTTTTGCTTTTGATTCGTTTTGAGATAAGGTCTTGTGTTTATACCCAAGCCAGCCTGGACTGCAATCGTATTTATGCTTCTTACCTAGCTGGGATGACAGCCATGCATCACCACACCCAGCTTTCATTGGTTGACATGGGGTCTCACTAATTTTTTGCCCAGGCTGACTTTGAACTGCGATTCTCCCAAATAAGTGGGATTACAGACAGAAGTCACTGCACCTGACTTTTTTTTTTTTTTTTTGCCAGGCTGAGCATTGAACCTAGGGTCTCACACATGCTAAGCAGCTATTTTACCACCAAGCTATACCACCAGCTCCATGATTTTTATTATCTTCACATTTGTGCATAGTTTCTAAGCTTATGATCAGATAAAAAAGGTTTTTTGGTTTTTTTTTTTTTAACTCAAATGAGACAGGAAGGCCTTTGAAAGCCAGAACTCACAGTGATGGCAAGAAATCCCTCTGCAGTGTGCCCCGGAGAGCAGGTGACCCTGACATTTGTAAGGTTCAGAAGAACAAGCTATGTTGCTCGTTTTCGTGATCCAAGTGCTCGGCCTCTTTCGGAGGGAAATAGCACTGACTGCCCTGTTCTCCCCTTGCTCACCTGGGTGGCAGTGTGTGCTCGCTCTCCTTCCTGGATGGACAACTCTACAGAAAGGACAGTAGGGCCATGCCTAGTGCCCTGTATCTCCATGACATACAGAGCATACCACCAGACACACACACTTGGGTTTCAGGCTTGCATCCTCTCATCGCAAAAAGCAGTGCCCTTGTTCTATGGCAGAAGATGATTCTCATCTTAAGATCAAAACCTCTGGGACTCGAAACATGTCTCAGGAAATGAAGTGTAGAGAATCACAGAGAGGCACGTGTTAACAGATGACTTCCATTTCACTCCAAACACACAGTGTTAAATGGAACACGGGTGAAATGTGCTCTGTTCTGCCAAGTCCCGAACATTTCCCAGCTAAGGGAGTTTTAGCATAGCACTCCAGGGATCATGGATAGGGAGCACCGAGCCAGCTTTCTGGGCATGCTGAGGCTGTAATGGATGCTAGCTGGCCTGTTGATTCCTCCCAGGAACCAGGAATCATTCATTATTCCACTGCTCCACTGAGCAGCCTTTCCATACCCACAAATGGGTGTCTAGGAAAGTTGTCACATTGGTCCACTTGGTGTAGTGTGGCCTTGGGTGGGTGGCAAGAGAACCCTGTCCCATCTGGGAAGTCTTCATAATCTTCCTCTGCCCAGTCCACTTACCACTTCGCAGAAGGACAGGGAGCTTGAACCAACTATTTTTCAGGACAAGAACCGCTCTTGAGCAACTAAAGAGCTACATGGCCATCAAATGAGAGCTGGACACCTTCCCACCGCCTCATGAAGTTGGGAGCCACATAAGATGGACAAGAAGCTTCTGGAGGCTTCTATGCCAGAAGCTTTTAAATTAATTTCAGGGGCCAGGCACAGAGGTACATGCCTATAATCCCAGGTAGGAGGATCATGGTCACAGTCTGGCCCCTGGAAAAAAAAAAAACCTCAAGACCCCATCTGAAAAAAATAACAAACCAAAAAAAAAAAAAAAAAAAGGCTGAGGGCATGGCTCAAATGGTAGAGTGCCCACCTAGTACGTGCAAGGCCCTGAGTTCACACCCCAGTACCACCAAAAAGAGAATCATTTCAAAAGCAACTTGACTGCTCTCCTGAGGCCCCTCATTGGCAGTGGAAGTTAAGCTTCCTCCAAATCTGACTGTTTTCGTAACTGAGCCCTCATGAGAAGTTAGTCTTAAACATAAGCCCCTAAAGCCACCTTTAAGCAGCTATTCCCACATATCCTCT